CTCCTGCCCTGAGGGTTTACGGGAACTCAGAAGAGCTCCTAGGAGAATAAACAGGTAAGGAAGTGACCACACGCACTACAAGGGTGACTGTGTCGGGTACTGCGAGGGGAGGGGCCCAGAAGGGGCTGCAGAAGTTTCAAGCCATACAGAGTCCTTCCAGGACAGGGAAGTAGGAACAACCACATGAACAGGTGACATTTGCACTGAGCCCTGAGGGTCCCACTGGTATGGGACAAGTTAAGGACACAGGTAAGAGTCAGAAGCTCTTCTCCAAGGAGTGGAAAGAAAATGTGCAGAGACATGGGGGCTAGAAAGCTTGGGGGATGGCCAGGGTGGAGCCCTATGACCTAGAGATATTTACACAGATGGTTTCTCCTCAGAATGTCAAGCACTCTGCCTCGACCACCCACACCTTTGTGAGCCAGGCATGGCCGAGCTGAGAGAGGTCCCCGAGGAAGCAGAGCAGACTGCGCGTGAGTGTGCTGAACGAGGGGACCGTACCCCAGGCCTCCTGAACGAGTTAGCCACAAGGAATCAGACAGATGTTAAAAAAAAAATCTCTTGGGGCTATCACTGTTGCTAGAAATCAAAACACTGTGAGGCTGCCTCTGGGCACAGCGATCCACCAGGAAATGCAGTGACGGGGAGGGAAGGCAGGGGACTCCGGTCCTGCCGACTGCAGTGCAGACGGCACCGCAGCAGAACCATCCGCAGCAGAACCATCCGCAGCGTTTCGCTCCATCACCCCGCTTCTCTTCCGGGCCCCACTGAATCTCCTCTCCACCTGACAACGCAGGGTCTGTAGAGAGAATTCGGGAAGCCCTTGAACTTCACGGAGGAAAATACTCTTGATGTTTCACTAACCTCTAACTGAAATTTAGTATTTCCTCTTGTTCAAAATGCAGGCAGTGGTCCAGGGCAGTATTAGCATACCTGTGCTTTTGTCCCAATAGAAATTCGAGAGAGTGTTTCATATCATAAAAGAATTGTTCCAGGTCCGTCAAAATGTCATGTTATATTCTTTATTACTTTGAAATCAGAGTGGTCCCACACTGACTGCCAGATCTTATTCAATGAGCTACTAAAGAAGCATGTATAAAGCTAAAGCATAAATTGGTTTTAATAGTTTGATAACTGTATTTCCATACAATTGGATTCATACCCGGGATGTGGGGTTGTATAAGACTGGCAAAAATTCCTGCCTTCAGGGAGGATTATCCGTGTTCCAGAGGGGAAATCACTTCCATTCCCAGCTGGCAGTCTGGTCTACATGCTAGTCCTTGTGCCCGGGGAGGCACATTTCTGCCTCCGGGCCTTTGCACTGGCCGATCCCCATGCCCCCAGGATGCTGTTCCCCCAGGTGACTGCACGGCCCACTTCCTAGATTCCTTCAGGTCCTTACTCAAAGGTTATCTTCCAAACAAAGCCTTCCTTGGTTAACCTATATGAAATACCCCCCAAGGAAATGGCTCCTATCACCCTTCCTGGCTTTATTTCCTCCTCTTAGCATTTATCACTTCCTAAAATACACTTAAACACACGTACTTTATTTTTTCCTCTTATTTATATCTCATTTCCCCTCTCCAATGTGAGCTCCACAAAGGCAGGAATTTTTGTCTCTCTCATGCGATGCCATATCCTCAGTGCCTAGCACCTCGTCTAACACATAGTGTGTTCTTAAAAATTACTGGGTGAATTAATTGATGGGTTCATTAATTAATTGGCTGACAGTTGCTAGGATGAAGGTTAGGGACAGCTACTGGCTGCTCCCATTCCACGTCGAATTTTAATATCTCTCTCGACCACCGCATTACTGAGAGAAAACAATCACAGCCAATGTGCTTTTGAAGTCGAGGTGGCCGCAGAAGCACAGGGGCTCATTTATCAGCCCCTGCAGAAAGGAGACGCTGATTTTCATTAATAAAAAGAGTTTTCACCAAACAGTGGATAGATGTGTTCTGACACATACACACACACATTCACACACAGTAAGTTATGGGATCAAGCTACGCCATAAAACAAATACCAAAAAAACTCAATGGGTAAATGGGCAGGTGGCATGAAAACCAATACAAGCACTAACCCCGAATGCAATAGAAATGATGCCGGTTGATGAGATCGCCCCACAGATACCACTCGGCCAAGGACAAAAGGCAACGGGCAGTACAGAAACGCAGGAGTAAATGCAGATGACAAAATCACTGTGTGGGCACCGCTGGGCTTCTCCTGCTCCTGTGAAACATGCAGGATTGCCCACTTTATGGCACTGCTGCTCACATACTAAAATAGCAAAGATACCTTTAACACAGGTAAGATCTGAGGCCGGCTGGGCCGTCTTCCCAGGCATAGAAAGCCCCTCAGTCCACTCTACACCCCGGGAGTGCTCTGTTTAATAAGAACAACCAGAGCTACGACTGGACTCCTCGGAGTTATAAAATGTAAGTCAAGGACAAATAAAGAAATGACTATTTTATATCCCAGGCATCCCTATATAGATAGGCTCAAGCCATTCACCGATGAAAAAACAACAAATTCAAAGATCTCCAGATTCCTCTTGGCAACACAGCTTCTTGAAATCACTTTTTACACGTGCCCTCCCATCTTCTCCTACAATCCTTGCCCCAGTTCTGCACTAAGTGTTTTTGCGAAGGGCACCGCCAGGTCACCAAACCCAAAGGCCTGTTCCCATGGGCACGTGACTCACCTGCCCCACGCAGCCGACCTGCCCGGCCCTGCAGTAACCTGACCCTCTCGTCTCATTACTCATGCTTGGTTTCCCGTGGAAGTCTGCTGCCGCTTCTCAAACCTTAAATCTGGGGTCACAAAATAAAAAATTAAATGCCTGCAGGGGCCGGGGCAGGGGCCCAAAATGAAAAAGGAGGACACGTGGCCATCGTGACAAGCTGGAGAGCACTAGCCTGGTCAGAAGGGGCTCGCACACCCTCACCTGTGGGCGTCGGGTGGTCGCATCTCCCAGTGTGTAAAAACACTCACCCTTCTCATTTTTATGGGAACTTTCCCTGTGTTTTTACATGTTGGCAACTACGGTCTGTAATGTTTAAAGACTATGAGCTGAATCAAAGAAACGTACAGCCTGGATACGATCTGCTGGCCTCCAATCTGTGTCCTCTCCCCACTCACCCCCCTGGGTCCCCCTTTGGCAGGTTGCTCCCCTTCCTGGGGATTTCATCCAACGACTGCGGAGCCCAGGTGTGTGCATCGCCCCTCGGGGCTCCCTGCTGCCGTCCAGACCCCCATAACTGCCTCCCGGACATGTCCATGTGAGTGGCCTGACCTCAAAATAAAACAGCCCACGCTTTCCCTTCATCCTCCAATGAAGGGAAGGCCCCTCAAATCCCTTCCCTTTCCCCATCCCTCCTGCCTCTGTGTAGCCCACATGCTCTGTCTTGTTCCACGGTCCACTACAACAGTCCCCCCGCCTCAGACCCACGCCCGCTCCTGACCCTCAGGTCCATTCTTCATGCCAGCTAACATTACCCTCGGAAATGCGCAGGATTTGTTTTCTACTGCTTTCTAGTTGTATGACTCGAGTAAATTATTAAAGCCTCTCTTTGATGTTCCCTTGTCTATTTAGATAGAAAGATAGATAGAATAATTTAATATAATACAAGATAATAATACATATATCAAAGCATTATAACGACAATAAAATGAGATAATACTCATGTCACATTTAGAACAGTACCCAGCACTTAATATAAGTGCTATATAAATATTTATTTTTATTATTTTTGCCATTAAGTATTGCCGAGCCCGGAGTGTCATTTGAGTAAGAACTGGAATTCTAAGTTTGCAGAATTTGCCGCATGTATTTGATGTTATTCCCACGCCCTCCCCTGCCCCTGGAAGGTAGATCCATCTACAGCAAAGCCTCCAGCAGCAGGACCACCGGCAGCAAGGCCGGGAGGCCAGCACCTTGGTCTCTGCACCCCTTTCAGTCCATCTTTCACCCCCTTTCAGCAAACACCATCCTCCTGTTCGCTCCCTGTTCGCTTTCCGAAACCAACTGAGACGGCTATGAGATTACTTTTTACTGAGGGCGTGACGGAAGACCTTTGGACATTCCCCACATCTCTTTGGGGTTCTTTGGATACAAGCAAGAGCAACTGTGTGGCTGGCTGAGCAAATGCAGCTTTTGTCAGAAGCCGACCTGCAGCTCTCAGGGTGGAAGAGAAGTCCGCAGAACCACACCTGGAATCAGGCAGGAGCCAGGGCACTCCGGAAGGCCCTGGACACAGAAACTACTCACAGGAGAAGAGGTCTGGTTCGGGGGCCGGTGAAGGAACGAACACATGCAGTGGCCTCTGCCACCCCGAGTCACTCAACCGTCAGAGCACCTGACAGGCAGGGCTGAGCCCACACCATCTGCCCTCCACCGGGGCTGGGACCAGAAGAAGCTGGCAGGAGGAACCGCCAGGGACATCGTTAGCGTTTGCTATTCCACCAAGACAACATTCAAGCAGGGAGGGGCCGTTACCCGGAGGGACTGAGGGCGCTTCGGGAAGAGGAAAACAGGTGTGTGGCCAACAATTCCATTCAACTTTCCCAGAGAGTTCTCCACGGTTGGCCTTAAAATATAATATAGAGAGAATTTAGAAGATTATAAGGAATTTCAGGAATCATGAAACAGGCCAGATTAACTACCTGGATGACAGAGGTGACCTCCAGGCACTCTAGGAGATAAGCCAGTGACAGCAGTGACAGTGACATCACCTTGTCCCATGTCTCACTAACGCCCCTTCCCTCTCCACAGGTGGCCAGAGGGACTTCTCTAAATCACAGATACATAAGGATGTGTCAATACCTTGCATAAACCTTCAGTGGCCCCCTCGTGTCTTCAGGATGGAGTCCAAACTCCTCGGATTTCAAGCAAGAACGTGGCTGCCGGGCTCTCCGGCCCCAGCGCCCACCACCCCGCTTCAGAGCCCTCTGCCACAGCCCCGTCAGACTGTTAACCATCCCCACCCTCGTTTCCAAACCTCAGTGAAGCTGTTCCCTCTCTTCCCTTCTTTTCCAGTGAATTCAGTTCTGTCTGCAAGAAGTCAGCTCCAGTGGCACTGCCTGCAGGACCCTCTCCTCGGAGGCACCGCACACACGTGCTCATGCGCACACGTCTAGTGCGAACAGGCACCTCTTCTTTGTGCTGGCAGAGCCCCGACTGGCAGCGGTATCACCGATACCCCGTGATCTCGACGTCTGGCACACAGCAGACAGGAGGAGGGAGATGTCTGGTGGAAATAAGACTAAATGAATGCTCCCTTAAGGGTAGAAGACTAGGATTTTCCTGCTCTAAATAGATTGGAGAAGGCTGCTTGGGGGTGTCTTCTCATCATACAGCCTTTCTGGGGGGGCCTCCCAGACACCGGGGTGGATTGCCTGGCCGACTAGTGTTTCTCTGTACCCAGTCTGAGCACCCAGCACGTGAAGACATTTCCAGAGGCTTGTAGAGGAGCGTTTATGGCTGCTAGAAGCGACTGAGTACTGTTGCCAAATCACAAATCCTCAGCATATTTTCAACAAAATTCTCCAAGAGCCAAGTGCTCTTTGCTGTAGTAAGTTGCCACAGTGAACTATTTCGTGGGGTAAAAAAAAAAAGAGCTTTACTAAACTTTTTAAAAGACGTAGTAAAACAAATATGATGGTTTATAGAACATCTAATCCATTATTTAGGAAGTAGAAAATAATGTCTTGATGCTTTCACAAACACCCCATTCTGCTTGGGAAGCCATGCTAGGACTTTTTAATGTTCTGCCCAGCACTGTCTGCTACGAGCAACTCCACACTTCATCAACAGGAAAAGAATTATAAAATAATGAGATCCCCAGGCAATGCAAGTGAAAAGGATTTCTATTTGACTTATTAAAATGAATTCTTATACCCCAGCTTTTCCCAGTCCATTCCCTAGGTGTCCGAGTTCTCCACACAAAGAAGAACAAGGTGGGACAGAGCTGGGAAGAGGCAACGAGACCCTCTGAGGAACACTCACGGCCCCTAGCGTCCCCCAGTGTCCCCCAGCGTCCCCCAGCAAGCAGAGCACAGATGGCTGACAGCTCACAACCCAGCCAGGAGACCAGGTTAGGCACCTTCTCTGGACAGGTGCGGGCTTTCCACCCAAGATGCCGAAAGGAAGTTCTCACGGGTCCTGGCCAGGTGGATCAGTTGGTGGGAGTGTCATCCTACACACCAAAGAGTCACAGGTTTGATCCCCGGTCAAGACACACACCTAGGTGCAGGTTTGAGCCCTGTTTGGGGTGTCAGGAGGCAATCGATTGATGTTTCTGTCTCATATCGATGTTTCTCTCTCTCTTCCTCTCTCTCCAAAATCAATAAATCTATCCTCAGGTGAGGACTTTTTAAAAAAGTCCTCACTCCACAGAAAACAGGAATGCATTTTGGAAAAAAAAAAAAACAAACTTTGCATGCCCTGGAGCAAAACATGGCTTTCTTCGCCCAGTTTTCACACTCGAGGTGTCCCCGTCTGTGAGTGTTCTAGTCACGTGAGCTGAGCCAGGGAAACTCAAAGTAGTTCCACACCAGTCCACCTCAAGGGCGTTCACGATAGAACAGTACAAACACCGCTCATGGAAGATGGCCATTGTTTGCTCATGGAAGATGGCCATTGTTTGTTCTATAAACTCAGAAAAAAAAATGTGGGACTTTTTTTCTTTTGAAGGGTTCCACTAGTTCTTTTATTTGAAATCACAGAAGTAATACACAGAATTGCTAAAGTTTGAACTCAGATGATATTGGATGCAAAGAGGCTAAAACATACAACATAACAAAAAATTACCTTGTCTGCGGATTTATTCTATACCACTAGTTCTCAAAATGGGCTCGGAGGCTTCCTGGGGTTCCTAAGATGCTTTTAATGGTCCATGAGATCAAACCTATGTTTATAATAAACTAAGATGTCATTTTCCCGTTTCATTGTCATCCTCCCCCAAGTGTCCACTGGAGCTTTCCAGAGGGTATATGACGTGTGAGAACACACACTAAATGGAGCAGCAAATTTAAGAATCTCAGAGTCTCATATTAAGCCAGACAATAAATAATTCATAAAAATGTAAAACAATGTCACTCTCACAATAGCTTTGCCTTGAAAAAGATGAGATTATTATTTTAAATGAATTAATACATGAATACTTTAAAATATATGTATCTATTCTCCTTCCTAATATATAAATACTGACAGCTATCACCCATATGAGCAGAAGCTTCTGGGCGTTCTCAGTCATTTTTAAGTATGTAAAGGTCCTGAGATGAAAACATTTGAGAATACTCTTATCAAAGCATTGGAATCTCAACTTCTTTCTTTTTTTTTTAATTTTTTTATTGTGGTAAAATATACATGACACCAAATTGACCATCTTAATCATTTTTGAGCGTACCATTCAGTGGTATTAAATGCATTCACAATGCTGTGCAACCGTCACCACCGCCCATATCCAGAACTCTTTTTTCATTTCATCAAACTGACCCTCCATCCCCAGCACGGCACCTCTGTGTGCCCTGTCTCCCTCTGTCCCGTCAGCAAAGCAGCCCACACCAAGGAGCGCTGTCTCCTCCAGAGCGTGCACCTGTGCAGATAGGCCCATGCGGCTGGCCCCCCCGCCCCCCACCCGGGTCCCGGGGGAGAGAGCTCCATCTCCTCCCCGATCCTGGAGTTCCACCTAACTCCGAACCACCCAGCCTCCCGCTCCTGACGACCAAACCGCATTTGCCGGGCAGTCTGACACCTACCCCCCACATCTAGTCATGCTGAAATGGGATAATTTCCAAGTTGCTGACACTAACTTACAAATGAAGGGTTGCAAACTAGGGCCTGCTAGTGTGCTCTTAACTGTTGATGTGGGTGATAGAACTGGCCGGTGAGAAGAAAGTAAAGAAACCCATTAGAGTTTTGGGCCACATTACGTAAGTCTGGCCCCCGTACTCTGTCCTTCAAGGCCCACATAAAAAATACTAAGGTGAGAAGACACTGTGTGTGCAGCTTCCCCGGGGTAAGTCTGGAGCAGGTAGGAGGCAACAGCTCAGCGCTCACCACCGAAGGGATGCTCCATGCTGACATTCGATTTCTAACCGGACCGAGAAGCCTGGGGACACAGCTTACGAGGTAAAGTTGCTAAGGCATCGTGTGACCGTCCATACTCAGGCTACACTGCAGGATTTGTGATTTAAGGAGATGATGAGAAGATACAGGGATTTTGATACCTTTTACATACTTTGGCAAAGATGATAGATGGATAGATAGATAGATAGATGACACTGCCACATAATGACACTTTAATTCATGCTTTTAGCCCAGAGGAGATAAAATTCCCCAAGAAGGTGCAACCCTGAAACACTTTGGGGCCAAATCTTGGCCAGGCAATGTCTTATCACCAAGGGGAAGAGGGCAGGTGGTGGCAGTCTTATGTATGTGGCTTCAGGAGGGTACCACACTTAGAAACCTGGGATCTTAGCAAACCCACAAGAAAAACACTGCCCAGAAGGTATGGTTTATCGACCGCAGAGATGAAAATGCTGAAATAACCCTGCCAGAATCCAAGTGTCTTCTCTCAATCCACATCTGCAAACCACAGACATTAACCACCGAGTTCTCCCATCTCTTTGATCAATTAAATTCTTTACCTTAGGTAAATAATAGGAAATGCTTTCAGGTTCACCTGGGCATGTCAATCAGGGCTTAAGAAAGCCAAACCAGTCCATGGAAGAATGCAAGTAAGAAATGTAAGCATGCTCAAGTCCAAAATGTTAGTATTCTGACATTTATTTATCTCAACACACTAATTATTTGCCAGGATATGTCAGCATTCGTGGAAGAAGTCTTCAAGAGGTAGCAAATGTTTTAACTGACCTTTGGAGTAACTTTCAACGCTATGGTCCTATTTAAACTCCCATTTCCCACAACCATAAATTCATCATTGGGTTCCCTATCCCTTCTTCAAAGCCACATCAGGCTATCTGCGATATTCATGATTGACATTTGGGCCAGCAAAGTCTGCTGTTCCCAGAGGGCAGAACAGATGTACCTGTCTGGTACATTTTTACAAGACATCCATGGGTACAGAGGAAGCGTCTCATGTGGTGAGGAGGGCCAGGTGAGGAAGTTTTGCACTGAGACGTGGAAGTGGGCTTGCAGTTTTGCCCAGGGCTCTCCACTGGGACTCACCCCCTTGTATCTTGGGAAGGCTTGCATCGCCACACCCTCAAACCTCTCACTGGCGTCTCTCCACATAAGTCAGTCTGAAAGCAGACTGGCAATCATTAAAAAAGCAAATGCTTAGAATCTCACCACAAATGTTGCCACGTATCCACTCAAAGTTCTCCTCATTCAATTTACAAAAGGGACCCAAAATTAACACAAAGAAATAACACTATTGAAGGAGAGTATTCGTAGAAAGATATTAACTTTTTTAATCATAAAATCACTGGGCTGTGAGGGGAGGAAACCAAAATGAAAAAGCACAAAATGATAAGCTCACATTTACCCTGCAACTGGAGACAAAGCCAAGGCTAGGATTCAAATTTCTGGTCTTCCAAAAGTGCTGCCACCACTGAACTCACACACAGAGATGTGTGTGTGGGCTTACTGAGGAGCTGGACTCCGCTCCTGACCTCAGCCGGGGTCGCCTTCCCATAGACACACTCATACACACAAACTCGCGTTCGCGCCCACTCTGTCTCTCTGTTCCCTCCCATAACCAACCCACGCGTGCATGGTCTCCGCGTCCCCACCTCCCGTTCGTCCGCCTCTCAGTGCGCCCTGGCTTTAGGGCCCGCCTCCCCAGCACACCTCTCTCGTCTGTTCCTCACAGCCCTTGCAGAAGATCTTCTAGAAACACAAATTGGCTCCTGAAACTCCATTAATTCCTTATCACAGTCCTCAGGATAAACCCTTCAGACCCTGACCTTGGCCTAAAGAGCCCAGCAGGATTGGCCCTCATTGCCCTCTCCGGCCACCTCCCAGCCACTCCGCCCCCCAGTCCTCTGGGAATCCCTCCAAGGCTCCATGCTCATCCTCGCTTAGAGTCCTCACAGTCCTGCCTCAGCCTGGAACTCTCTTCCCAGAACAGTCTTCCCGGCTTCCCGTCTAAAGCAGGGTTCTCCCCACCCCGGTTATCCTCCCCATGAAGTTCTCTAGAGTGCCTGCCACTGCTAAAATGTTTGCGTTGATTTGTTTACTGTCTAGTTCCTTACCCATCTCCCACCCACCCCCACTCTGTTC